GTGGCGTTTCCGGATTTTTAGTTAATTCTTTAAGATCATTAACTTTGGAATGCAGTTCTTCCAATTTCAATGCTTTGTTTCTAACTTCAGACTGACAAAAGACAAAGAAGAAATGTGTAAAGAATTAAAAACATTGACATGCTATATTTAATATTTAATAATTGCAAGAGCTAACTCTGTCAAAGTACCAACTTAAGCCAGTGGTGGAAAAAAAAATTTGTTTCATTTTCTGAGGGATGGCATTATTTATGAATGTGGAAAACATTACAGTTAATGTTCGCTTGGAATGAGAGGGAATATGCAGAACTAACTTTCTCCCCACCCTCTTTTATTAGAAAAAAGCTCCTGGAAAAAGTTAAACACTGACCAAAAGTCTTGAATCAGAGGGGATTCTCAATAGGTTGTTATTTATTCATTACAGTAATACTACTGGTTACTATGGTAGCAATAAACTCATAAAGAAGTATTTCAAAGCATATACACATCAGGAATGCCTAATGACTGTAGACTATAAGTAATACATAAAACAGTAATACTACTGGTTACTATGGTAGCAATAAACTCATAAAGAAGTATTTCAAAGCATATTCACATCAGGAATGCCTAATGACTGTAGACTATAAGTAATACATAAGAAACATTTTAAATAAAAATTTATAAGATAATAAAGTGGAAATCAGGTTAACCAGGAAATTGACATCTAATTTCAATTAGTTGCCTTTTTTTCTTTTTGCACCAACACTAACACACAAAAGAAGTAAGAGCAATCAAAGAATCATTATTGAACCAATTAGATGCTTGTAAACTTCATTAGTTATTCAGAGAGACAAAGAAGCATTTAATAAATTATTCTCCTCAACTTAAAAATGGTATTTTGGTGCTTTGCAGACACTAACAAACCTCCTGATGCCTGCAATCTAGAAAATAATTTAGTTATGGTAGGATGTGATGGACTAACTGTCAGACCCACTGGTCTCCTCCAGAAGCTGTCTGGGCAATTAAGGAATCGCACCTACTCACCTACGTTCATTTACTTGGCTGCAGCAGGAACGGCTTTGTTTGGCACTGGGCTGAATCTGTTCACTGATTAGCTAGTGTGTCACACAGTCAGTCAGTTACATAAAAACTCATCTCTGTGAGTGACTAAACCTGGCCATATTAAATGTGGGTCTGATGCACATCAGCTGTCTGGATTTCTGAAGTCATAGCAGTGGGTGGGTTTAACAACCGCCTCCGCCACCCTCCCTGATTGGCAGCATTTAAGACCATTTTGAACTAAGGCATGATGTCATTGCACGTGGAGTTGGAAGACATAAACAGTAACACACCATTCTGTATTATTCCCACCACCTATTATATAGATGTAATAGATATCAATAACTCAAGGGCCTAGATAAAGTAATATGTAGAATAATAGCTAGGAAATGACAAGTTTTGAGTATTCATTATCTTTGTTTTTAATAGAATTTATTTAATTGTATACATTACAATTTTATTTTTAATAATGGTTGTATTTAACTCTGGTTTACAAAATTCCTGAAAATTTAACAATCGACTTTCGTGAGCTGGTACAAACTGGATCTAGCCCAGGCCACTGTGTGAGCCATAATGTCAATTTAACATCAGAGATAATAACTAAAGAAACTGCAGTATCCCTTCCTCCTGGCTATACTTTCAATCTGGAAAATTTCCTCAACTTCTAACTGCCCTTAGAAATTGGAATTAGATTATGAAATCTCTAGAATGTTATTTGGGTCAAAGACAGCTGTATTACTAAGTAATACAGTTCATTCGCCTATATTTTTTCAGACTACAGCCACTCATTTACTTACCTGTCAAGTTCCGTGTACGTGCCAGGCACAGTGCTGGGCACCAGAAGGAGCAATGTGGACAGTCTCTGCCCTCACCAAGAGGACTGTCACTTATATGCCTCCTGAAACAGGTATCTCTCCTAACTCTACTCCCCCTCACACTGCTTCGTTTTACATCATGGCTCAATTACTACTTAACATTATATATATATATATATATACACGAAAACATTAGTTTATATATATAAATTATACTTAACATGCTAACTCTACTCCCCCTCACACTGCTTCGTTTTACATCATGGCTCAATTACTACTTAACATTTTATATATATATATATACACATATGAAAACATTAGTTTATATATATAAATATATACTTAACATAGTTTACATAATAGTATTATCTTTTAATTTCATTTTTCCAAGAACTTTTTCAAGTACTCTCAAATTGTAATGTAAATAATGCAAATTTCATAAGGGTAGAGACTTTGTTTTACTACATTTTCAGTGCTTAATATAGTGCCTGACATATGTTAGGTACTCATTAAGAATTTGATGAATAAATAAATGAATGAATGAAAGAAATGGGAATAAAAGGAGTTTAAAATAAATTGGTTAGTAGAATTTTAAATGGCCAAAGACTTTCTGTGGAAACTGTAACAGTCAAACCCGGCACCTAGCATAATAGCACATGGTAAGTACTCAGTAAACAGGGATTTTTTGAATAAAGAAAAATAGATACGAAATAGTACTAAATTACAAACATTTCCAATTTGGTTTTCAAGTAGGAAGGTGTTATATTCTCAGATGATTGGGAAAAAAAGATAGATTTTATGGATTTTTATTCTTCTGCTACTACTTCAAGTAAGGAGCTCTAAGAAATAATAAAAATGTGAAACAAAACAAAACAAAAAACTTTTCTTAGCCATTACCTATTCAAATTTCAAGTAAACAGAAAAAGACAGTTAAGAGTTTCGTAATACTCATATGTGTCTTAGAAAAAAAGAGTCAGGGCTGGCTGGTTGGTTCAGTGGTTAAAGCCCGGTGCTGATAACAGCAAGGACCAGGGAACTTTAAAAAGACACAGTGTCTTCATGTTTCAGTCAGTGGTGCACCACAGCTGCCATAGTCAGGCATGGTCAATTTACCTCAAATTCTTTCAGGAGTTCCTCGACTCTGAGGCTGTTATTCAGGCTGCTGATGTTTTCAGCCAGCTGTGGAACAGAGCTGTTTGACCACCCGTCGATCTCATCTTTACTTGAAAGTACATCATCCCAGATGGACAGGCTTACCCTCAGCCTATCCATGTTTTCTTCAATTCTCTCTGATACCTAGAAGAGAAAATAGAAGCCTTGGCACTAATAGGGTGAGGATTTAACATCTAGTTCTCCCACCAATTCTTCCTTCATCAGAAAATTATGTTCTGTAAGCTAATTAGTGCACCTGACTCAAGCAAATGCTAACCGTACATACATTGTTTTTGATATTAGCAGAGTTGTTTGAAATTCTGCGACATTAACTTTTCATCTGTAAATTGGGATACCAACCACAACAGGTCTCTATTAAAATATACCTCACTCTAACATTAAGTTCTATAAAATTGAAGTTCATCTAGGGCAATATTGTATTTATTTTTAAAATAACACAATATGCACTTTTATTTGTAATACTGAGATATAGGAATGAATATTAATCAGATTTAAATATACACAAGTGCAACCAACTTTACATGTTTAAAGTAAGGTATTATTGCTTAACATTCTTCCTATATTAAGAGTGTTCTTTTAAAAGTGGAGGCATATAAGGTTTTCTGCAGTCCTCTAATTATTTGATTATATTGCACAAATGCCAATGTCTAATTTTAGTAAATTTAGCTTTAGTATGGGAACCCACTGTAGATTAAACTTCTGAACCTAGATATTAATAGGGGGGCAACAGAATCACTGGATTTCTGAGCTGGAAGGTGGTATAAAATATTTATGGATAGATATATAGAATTCCAGGGAGATCAAGTGACGTGTTCTATGGTCACAATAGCTAGTAAACGACAGAGCAAGAACTAAAACCCAAGGATATAAACTACAAGTCTAATGTTTTCCAATGTGAAACCATAGCCCTTTTTCTTTAAATTATTATATATTATAATTTAATATTCTATAGGAGGTTTATAAATTATTCTTCTATTTTTATCCATAATTCCAGAGTTTTAAGAAGAAAAGCATTCAGAGTTACAATTTGTTATGTTTGAATTTATTAAGTGAAATTCCAGAAAATCTGGAATTTGTTTCAACAAAATAAGGGAAATAATTTTATGTGAACATAATTTTTCTTCCACATATTTTGCATTTATCATTAAAAGTTAAAAAATAGAATTCACATCCCTGAATAATCTTTTGCCCAAAAATTTTATTGAGAAATGCTAATATTTAAATGGTTCGCAGAATCCCAAGTGATCATCTTACATCCAGCCATTTGTCCACAGTGCTCTCCATGTCTGTTTTCACCAAGATGAAATCACTACTGTGAATTTTTTTCAGCTCAGATAACAACTGTTTTCCTTTACTGGTAAAATTATCCAACTCTTTCTGTTTATAATTCATTTCATTCTTGGCAGTTTCATGCTGTGGACATAAATGTTTCCTTAATTAATAAAATAATTGGTGATAAACCATTTGCCTCTAAGAAATTTAATTCATGGTGACCTTATGCAGAAATTGGTGATATTAATTAAGTATAAGAATATATATATATATACAAATACACATATATATAATTTTCTTGAATTACTAGAATCCTAGGATATCAGTATTCCTAGGAAAAAAAGAGTTGAGCTTGTTAGCATGAATTATCCATATCTAAATATACTGACAAGAAGAATTGTTCAGAGAATTGCTTTGAGTAAAAAATAGATCTACCAGTCTAAAATAAATACATTTTGAATTTTACCTTGGAAAAAGCCCATTTAAGATCCTCCTGATCTTTTATGGTAGTTCTGGTTATAATCACACTGCTGGCATTTTCTAGGACTTTAGATACAGTTGACTTCAAGTTCTGATATTCTCTCATTAAGTCAATAAGCCCACAGCATTGACCCTGGCTATAATGTTTAAAGAAAATATATCATTTAGTGTCATTATCAGGAAAGGGAAGAATTTTCTATGATTGGACTTGACATATCACTACATAAACATATTCACAGATGGATGCTGGAACCAAGAGAAAACCATATTTCTTCCCACTGAGGTCAAAATAGTGTTGCTGGTTAATCCTACTTAATTCTAATGTCCAAAATGTTATCCATGAATGAAAGTGCACATAGCCATTAAACAAAAGCTATAAATTCAACGATAAACAAAGAAGCAATGTTCTTTGCTTCTCAAATGCAAACTCTCTTAGACGAGTCACCCAAATTATTAGTTTTTTAAAATGTTTTTTTCATTCTGTTTTATTTACTTCATACTGGCATATATTGGGGGAAGAAAATAACGAAACAGAACAAAAAAAAACTAAAAATGCTGCTCAATAATTTGAAAACATATTTTTCTCTACTGTCTCAATGTAACAAATTGAACATGAATCTCCTGAATATTGTGAAAATAAGGTAGTTTTTATTTATAAGAGTAAAATGCCTTTGAGCAAGTAATTCTATATCTGGAAATTTTTACAAAGAAACAGATGTGTGTGCATTACGATTTAGGTAAAATGATATTCTTCACTCCATTATTTATAATAGGAGAAAAAAATAGAAATAACCTAAGTGTTAAAGACAAGTCAGTGATTGAATAAATCTTGATACATTTTTACAATTAAACACTATGCAACCTCTAAAAAATCACAATCTAAAAGAATGTTTAATAATGTAGAATAAAGTTTGTTTGACATGGTTAGATTTTAAAAGTCTACATTAATAGTCTACAATATGTAATGTGCTTTCGGTTTTGTTTCAAATATCTTCATACATAGTGTAAGGTACATATTGAGGTTCATTTTTTTAATGCATATGAATGCACAATTGTTCCAGCAACTTTATTGAAAAGACTATCCTTTCTCCATCAAATTGCCTTTGCATTTTTATCAAAGATCAATTGACTAAATATGTGTGGGTTTATTTCTGTACTACTTGTTCCATTGGTCTAAACTTTTATCTCTTGGCCAAAACCACACTGCAACCAGCTAGGGTGAGTCCAACAATTCTTTTCTGAAATTTTACTGGCTATTCCAGGTCTTTTGCTTTTACATATAATTTTTAGAATCAGCTTGTCAATTTTTACAAAAATTCTGTGGGAATTTTGTTTGGGATTATTATTGATATGAAAAAGATCTCGATATCAAAAAAACAAACAATTCCCCCCAAATCAGCCAATTTGGACAGGTACTTTGTTAAAGAAGATTTGCAGATGACAAACAATATGTGAAAATATGCTTAATATCATTAGTCATCAGGGAAATATAAATTAAAAACACAATGAGATATCTCTATAAATCTATTACAATGTCAAATAAGCAAGTAACAAAAACTTGACAATACCAAGTGTTAGAAAGGATGTGGAGCAACTGGAACTCTCACACTGGCTGGTATGAGTGCAAAATGGTACAACCATTTTGGAAAACAGTTTGGCAGGTTTTTTTTACAAAGTTAAATGTATAGTTTACCATGCAACCTACAGTCCCACTTTTAGATATTTACCCAATCAAAATAAAAACTTACATACACACAAAAACTCGAATGTAAATGTTTACAGATGTTTTATCTATAGTCATCCAAACTGGAAAGAACCCAATTGTTCATCAACTGGTAAGTAATTTACTGTGGTACACCCACTCAATGGAATATTCAGCTATTAAAAAAAAGAATGAACTATTGATGCACAGGACAAACATACATTGTGCTAAAAGAAGCCAGGCTCAAAAGGTTGCATTCTATACAATTCCATTTATATATGATTCTGTAAAAAGACAAAACTTTAGATACAGAAAACTGATTAATGGTTGTCAGGAACTGTGGGTGAGGGGGAGAGATATACTACAATGAGATATGTTAAAATTTTTTCAGGTGTTAGAACTGTTACTGTGAAGTTTGATAGTTGTGATAGTTATACAACTGAATGAGTCTGTCAAAACTCATAGAATTGTATACTGAGAGGTAAATTTTACTGTATTTAAAGTTTACCTTAATTAATTACAAACAAGTACAACAAAACAACAAAAAAAAGAAAATCAAAAGTTAAGGCTCTCATTGTAGCACTTTGTAATTATTGACAATTTCTGATTTTAAGGATCAAAATTCACTGTGACTATGATCTCAAGACACAATTCTCAATTAAGTTCTGTAAGACTAAATTTTTAATGTTACTAAAGTGACACAGAATACCTAAGATGGCAAAAGATGTGCAATTTTTGATAACATCAACAAAATTTAACAAGCAATGGCCCAATGTCACAAAATAAGCAGGAAGTTAAAAACAAAAACTGGGTGTTTTTGACTTACTTTTCATGAATTAGTTTTTTGGTGTCATCCCAGGTGACTTCTAAGCAGTTTATCTCCCTGTCAACTTCAGGTGCAAAAGCTACATCTTTCTGGGCAATTTGCTTAGCTTTGTCTTTTAACCAACATAGTTCATGCTCATGAGAATTCAGTTCATCTTCTAGCTGATTAAACACTCTCAACCTGTGAATTAAAATGTTATTTCACTGTTAATTTACTAGAGGTAGTGAACTAATATTTCCTTTCCACAAGCACATGCTGAGTCCATAAAGCACACATATAGATTACTAGAAAAACTTTTTAACACAGCAGTTAAATTAATGTATATCAACTGATGAGGATACTTTTCAAGCTAATTTTACAAAATAACTCAGACTGTCCCTCAGAAAACATTGAAATTCATTCTTGTTACTCACCATCAACATTCTATTAAGTTTGTATTCTCTTTCTGCTTTGCTTTGATGGTATAAGACTTTCAAGACTAAGGCTGACTTTGTAGGCCACGTAGGTGAACACTTATTGCAAAGTCATTGGTAAAAAGTGCTTTTGTGCCATGATGTGCAATCCATGTGAACAGTAATATTTAAGGATCACAGTTATTTCATTCAAAATCAAAATAGCTTTACTGAGCTTTACAAAAAATACATATTTTTAAGACCTAAGTTACCGACTTTATTGAAAAGATTACCATGAGAAGATGATCTTTTTTTCTGTCCCTAGTAAGCTAATATTTGAGCATTTGTAAAAAGTGACCAAACAGAGGCAGCCACTGACTCTTTTGTTCTTCTATTTTGTATGGCACCATAGAGTTTACAAAGTGAGTGTGCATGCATTAACCGATTTAATTCCCAAAACGAAGTGGCTGGCGGCGAGTGTTATTTTCCCACCATACAAGAAGAGAGGTGATTTGCCCAAGGTGGCACAGGGAAGCATAAGGATGGCTGGAATTTAATAAATCCATCAATTCAATTCAACATTTTCTGTAGCCTATATGTGACTTTGGTGCGTTCAGTGTTGAGGGTACTGATATGAATCTTGAGCCCAACCTGGGCTTTTCTCTCCAGCAATTTTAGGATCTCCTGTACGCTTGGCCTGAGCAGGCCATGCCTCCCTGCAGCCCCAGTGGTACTGCTGACTTCCTGGGTGAGTGGCACTAGGCACCTCATCCTGTCTTTACCTTCCCAAATCTCATTCCCTTTTGTAAATTTACTGTAAAACTAGTCAGATAGCTTATTTCCTACAAGGGGTATAACCTCAGGAAGCTCAATATTAGCTCCATTGTCATGTAACTGAAGCATTGGCTTAATATTTGATTCTGGTGAAACGATGGCAATGGTCTTGGCAGGGACAACCGAATGTTTATCAATACAGACACCTCAGTGTAAACGCATATCAGCTGCTTCTTTGCCCCTTGAAAAAGTGGAAGAGGAAATGGCCCTGAGAATATGAGTGGAGAGAAGGTTCTATTATGAAAGAAAAAGAAAATTGAAATGAAGGTTACAGTATTAGGGAGAAAATTGCTTGTCAAATTTACTAAGGGAGCTTATCCTTGATCTATTTGCTTCTCTATTGAACTCACCCAGCCCTGAGAATATGAGTGGAGAGAAGGTTCTATTATGAAAGAAAAAGAAAATTGAAATGAAGTTTACAGTATTAGGGAGAAAATTGCTTGTCAAATTTACTAAGGGAGCTTATCCTTGATCTATTTGCTTCTCTATTGAACTCACCCAACAAAACCTCAACTTTGCTTAAACCCACTCCTCTGCCTTCTCCATACCTCTAAGCAAACAGTTACAAGCAGTTGTGGAGGATTGGCCAGTTAGCTTAGTTGGATAGAGAATGGTGTTGACAACACCAGAGTCAAGAGCTCAGATCCTCATGCCAGCCACCGAAAAGAAAAAAGTAGTTGTGGACAACCACTCTGCCAAGCTGGTTGATTTCACTTTAAATGAATGAACACAGATCTCAAATTGCCCCTCATCTTCTTTCAACTAATGAGCTTGCTCCAGTCTTGACTGAGGGGCTAGTGGCCACCAGGGAGAAACTTACTGGTAATTGTACCACCAAACCACAAATCTACTTGGATTCCTCCCTTTCTCCTCTACCCTCACTTTTGTTACGGAAGATGAATCACTTCTCCTATCAGTTAAAAATTGCTTCAGAAAAGATAATACAATCTATATATTCTCTTGTAAATAAGGACTCAGAGGGGCTCATGTACAGGCCTTGGGAAAATCCTGAAGGAAAGCAAAGAAATTTTAGTACTTCTTGAGTGTCAAATTAGTCATTAACTTTATCTTCAAAACATAAAAAAAAAGAAGTTACTAAATGTGGTACTATTAAAGTTTTGCATAAAAGTTAATTCGGGAGCAAATGAAAAGTGAAAGGGACAGCTGGCTTCGACACAGTCTCCCGTTACCTGTGCTGAAGAGCTTGGCGGGTGGGTTCTTTTAGTCGCTCTTTGTCAGTTCTCTCTTCAATGTCCTCAATGCTTTTCAGCAACTCCTCTTTCTGGTCTTGGAATGCTTTTTTCAATACTGCCAGGGCATCTGCCTCACTCTGCTTGGTTCCCAGAAGGTTCTGGATCTTCTCTAATTCTAAACATAACTGATCAGCCATGGCTCTGCAGGAAGTCCTTTGCTCAGAGCCTCCACCAATGTCCTCAATGCTTTTCAGCAACTCCTCTTTCTGGTCTTGGAATGCTTTTTTCAATACTGACAGGGCATCTGCCTCACTCTGCTTGGTTCCCAGAAGGTTCTGGATCTTCTCTAATTCTAAACATAACTGATCAGCCATGGCTCTGCAGGAGGTCCTTTGCTCAGAGCCTCCACTTTTCAGATGGTATTGGGCTTTGGCAAGAATGCCATCGAGACCGATGGCAGTAGATTCTAATGTTTTAACATCTTGAATAGCATCATTTAGGTCCTTTTCTAACAAGTCAGACTGTTTCTTGTTCATGCTGTTGGTCGCTTCCACCATTTGCCTCAGCTGGTGGAGAACCCCGGACAGAGCGGCGTGGCTCTGTAGGAATTCTGCCAACTGGGACAGGGCCACCTGCCGCCTCTCCACGACTTGGCTGGCCTCCTCAAACAGCTGAAAGCAGTCCTCTGCCTTGCCCTGGAGGAGGTGGACATCCTCGGCTCGGCCCAGAGAACCCAATTTTGCTAAATGATCCTGCAGACGCTGCAAGTCCCCCTTTTTACTCTCTACTTCTGCTGTGTGGTCCTGGAAGGGAAGAGAGAGTTAGTGATGACTCAGATACTCTACAGTTCATGACGCAGATACACTACAGGATGTGTGATGTCAGGATATGATTTAAGTTCAATGGATAGTGTAGTATTTAAAGATCCACGGTACATTTTTTAGAAATGTGCACAAAATATCCTGTTTTCCTCACCTACATACTTCATATAAAACACAGCACTGATTTGGAGTAATTAATTTTGTGGAAATCATTTCTTCATGGATAGAAATTGTTGGTTAAAAGAAATAAAAAATTTGGAAGATTTAAAAAGAATACACATATTATATATATATGTATAATATGTATAAATACTCATATATTTAAATTACTTTTATATTGAAGGAAAGCAAAATATTTTGGTCCAAAATATACTTCTTTGACATAGTTCAAGATGGCTATTTAGAGGAACTGGAAACACAAGAATAGCTAAAAAGCTGCTCTTTTTTTTTGAGGAGGTTTGCTTCTGCAGAGAAAAATCTACACTGGCTCACAATTGCTGAGCTTGCCCCCACTATCTAACATCTATTCTCTCTGAGGGCAGCTCCCAGATTATCTGAGATATTTTCATCTGCATAACAAGACAGCCCTTGCTTGATTGCTTTTTCCCTTCAACTGTGATGCCCTCTTCCAGAACTCAGAGATATTTGATCTCAGGCCAAATACGTTCCTTGGGCTCATTCATTTTCTGAAAATAATCTACTCTTATACCCACTCCCCATTTTCCCTGTACCCTATAAGGAAGTATATAAGCTTCTGTGATGACCTTCGGATTATTAGGCAATTGCTCTCCTGCGATTCCTCTGTACATAGCCCACCTCCTGCCCCCTCCATAGCATGCTAAAATAAAATGTGTTATGCCTTTTCTTCTATTAATCTGTCTTTTTTGTCACTGATTCTCAGTGAACTTTCAGAAGGCGAAGGGGAAGTTTTTCCTTAGCCCCTACAATGATATATAAAAAATATAGTATGTATATAATAATATATATGTTTGTATATATATGTATGCACTAGAGCTAATTCTAACAGAGCCTGTAGGGAAACGTGTGGAAGTGCCCCGACATTAACATCTCGTCAGACATGGTGGGTAAGGGAGATGAAAACCTGCACAAGTTTTAGCCACCTTTAAAGCAATATAGATTAAGTGCAACTAGTGTATAGGAAATTTGACTAGCTCACCATAAATCATATTTAAAATCTAGCAAAAAAAAAACTTGTTACCAATATTAGCATAGTTCCCATTAAAGAGAAATTATCATCTACCTTCATCTTGACCACAATGGCCTTACCGTTCCCTTCAGCTTGACTACTAAACATTCGATAGCTTCTTCCTGACTAGAGGTCCCTGGTCTTCATTTCCCTAGAGCATTTACTTTAGAAAACTTGTAATAATAAATTCATTCTCTGCCTCCAAGCTGTAAAACTACCTCCTGTTGTGAAGATGGCAAGAAGGTTTACTTTTCCCTCCAGTAAAGCCAATCAGCAAATTCAGCATAGCATGAACACTCAACAAATATTAAACGTTTCACTATTAAACATTATTATAAACCTATCATGTAGCTTATCTCTACTATCCCAATGCTTTACGATCAATATCTGATTTTTAAAAATGTTTTTTGGTGTCAACAGAGATATTATGCATAATTTATAAATAAGGGAAATAAGTCATGAATTTTAAATCACTTTCAAGCTAAATGGATAATTCAGAAAAACTATACTGTTAAAGCATTGAATTCAGTATCAGTTTTCAGCGTTGTAATACAACAAACTAAGAAGGTTTAAAATGGATATTCTTATTACTTTACATTAGAAATCATTTGCTCCATTATGAAAAAATAGTTTCTTAAGGTAGTTGCCTATTTTATCTGAAGTGGTTTTATCTGCTTAATTTATCTGCATTACTTGTTGCCTGCACCCATATGTTCAATTATTAAAACATATCCACATGAATAGAAAGTTAAATTGCTGCCAAGCATTTTTTTTTGTTTGGTTTTGTTTATGTTGCATCCCTTTGTAATTCAAGAATTCTCTTTTGTGACTACTTTCTTTCATCTTAAAAGAATGCACTTTACCTTGTGTCGAGTAAGAGCTACTCTATGGTCCATTACGCTTATCTCAGAAGTGGTTTGTAATTCACTGAGAAACAACTTAATCCAGACAGAAAAGGAAAGCAGCAGCTCATCAAATTGCTCGTGTTCAGCGACCACAGACCGAAGAAAAGTAATCCTATGTGCAGAAATTTGTTAAAGTTATAATGACTGATAAGTGAATAAAAAGGGTTAATGATATATTTTGGGAATTAAACTTAGCCGAGGGCAAACGTGATGCCACACATGGACAAGCCAGACCTCTTGATGTTTTCTACTCTCCAAATCCAATTTTTCTCACAATTGTCCTTGTCTCAGCAACACTCCCACCATCCACCCCGATGGTCCTAGCGTCGCTCCTCATCCCTCCATTTCTTTGCCAACCACCACATCTGCTCCACACACCTCCTGCCAGCACCCCCACCACACCGGGTACTGATTCTGTGCTCTTCTGTCCATTTCCACTACCCCCACCCCCAGCTGAATATCTTCATCTCTTGACTGGCCTCCAACAGCCTCGGAAACTGTCTTCTTTCCTTCCGCCTTTGCCTCCCTACAATCCACTTTCTAGATAACAGCCAGAAATGATTTCAAGTGATCAGAGCATTGCCATCATGCTTAAACACTGGGACAGTTTCCTTTTGCACTGAGGATGACAAAATCCCCAACATCCTGACTGTGGTCTACAAGGGACCCCACGTAGTCTAATTCTCCAGCCTCATCTGATACAGCTCTGCCCACACTCCCGCTGACCTCTGTTTCCCTATATTCCACCTTATTACTGCCTTAGAGCCTTTGCCACTTTGGCTCCCTCTGCCTGCATGCAATGCTGGAATCTTAACCAAATGTCACCTCCCCAGAGAGACCTTACTTGGCCACCCAGTCTAATGATGCACCACCTTGGAGTTTCTGCCGTGCTGTTTTGTTGTCTTCATAATGCTTAACATCACCTGAAGCAGTCTTGTTCATTCATCTGCTTAATTATGTATTTATCTTCCCTCAGTCCCTTCTTCTTCTCTCCCCCACTCCCCATAAGGCCAAGGACTTTACCTGCCTTGCTTATTACTGTGTCCTTAGCATCTAAAAAGTGCCTGGGATGTGCTCAGTAATCAATCAATGCTTTCATAATAAATGAATTAGTTGATGAACAATAAGTGATCGAAGATCAGAGTACAAGATTGGTATTAAAAATAGGAACTTAATCAAATATTAATATTCATTGCAATGATTTGTACCTAAAGATCAACTTTTTAACTCTACTTTTGTTTTGACCCTTATAGAATTTTCTACACATTATCTTTACATGCATAAAATATATTTTTAATGCTTCACACATTTGTAGCACTTTGAAAGTCCTTTTCTTGCCCCCTGTGAGATATATGCAGGGAAAATCCTCTGTTTTACAGAAAATTGCTCATTTTTCAAGAGCTGGCATCAAATCCATCAGTATGCCTTTTCTGAACCTATTTGAATGTCCCTTCTTTTTGTTCCTATAATACTCTGTGCTCACCTTTCTCCTTGGTCGCCTTGTTATCTCCACACTGATCTGTGACTTACTTGAGGTCAGGCTTTGTTTATTTTCCTGCCTCCAGTATCTGGTATAGTGCCTGGCACTCAGCAGGTACCCAATAAACATTTGTTGATTGATTGAATAAATGAATGAATAAACAGTTAAATAAACACAAGCTCCATGTTTACTCTTGTAGAAACTCAATAAACATTTGCTGAATGAATAAATTTTAAAAATAGCCAGAAATGTTAAATGCTTATCCAAGATCACATTGGGTATTGGATAATCAATACCAATTTAAAGAAAAAAAAATCTTATTAGAAAAGTATAGATGCCAATTGTTAATCACCTAATTAATTAAGATTTGATCAATTTTTGACTCCATTTAATATAATAATAATTTCCTCTGCTCTCCCCAAAGATCTATACTGGAATGAAATGGAATAGCTTATGTATACAAAATGCCTCTGTTTGAGAAATATCATATGAAACAAAATTTTAGTTACCATTTTTCTCTTGTACTCAAACAGCTCAGGCAATAAATAATACAAACATTAGCAGCCATACTCTTTTCAATATATTTCAACTGGTTTAATCATTTTCCCTGATCGTGAGACTAAAATTGTGAGTTGAGGTTTATCAGAAATGCTCATTTTTGAGGACCTCGATTTAAAAAGTGACAGATAAAGTAGTTTTCTTCCCTTCTGTAATTATCCTCCAAATAGCTGAGTTAAATAAAAGTAAACAAAACTATGCTTTCTTAATTTATATGCTCAACATTTAAAAACAAATAAACAGGGGGCCGGCCCGGTGGCGCACTGGATAGTGCGCCGCTTGGGAAGCGCGGCGGCGCTCCCGCCTGAGGGTTCGGATCCTCCCGCCCGAGGGTTCGGATCCCACATACAGACCGGTTCCCGCTCACTGGCTGAGCGAGGCGCGGGAGCAACGCCGAGGGTTGCGATCCCGTTGCCGGTCCCCGGTCCGGTGCGGGGGCAACACTGAGGGTTGCGATCCGTTGCCGGACACGGAAAACGTCAAAAGACAAAAAAAAAAAAAAAAAAAAACAAAA